ATACATGTACATATATACACATACATACCTACATACCTACACACACACACACACACACACACACACACACACACACATCTTCAGGCTGGTGTCTTCGGCCTCCTGTCTGTGCGAGCAAAGCAAAGCATGAGGCTGAAGACACGAGCCTGAAGATGATGAGTGGGACCTTGTCGAAATGCCGCCAAGATATTCTCAATCTTACACGGGAAAAGACCCGAATACACCAAAACCTGCATACCTGTACCCATGAAAATCTATGAATATATATTCATTCCAGGGTTTTGCAAATGCTGTTTGCTGGGTATGACAAAATTACCCTTTTTTGCCTTTTTCTCTGCAAATTCTTACTACCATATTTTTCGGAATATAAGATGCACTTTTTCCTCAAAAAAGAGGCTGAAAATCTGGGTGTGGCTTATACAGCATTTTTTGCTTCCCGAAGCGCTGCCCCTTCACCAAAATAACCATGAGCCTGTAGAAGGGGAGGGCAGAAATGAGTGAAAAACGGGCTTTTTTTTGCTCAATTTTGCCCCCCCCCCAGCCTCCAGGAGTACTCTATAAGCCTCCTAAAGGCTATGCATGCATTTTTTTTGACAAAAAACACGGGTCGATTTCGCGAAAAATTGACTGGCTTTTTGCTTGTTTGGAGGGGGGTACCCCCCAGCACTCTGCAAGCCCCCTAAAGGCTATTCATGCCTTTTTTGGGGGGGAAATGGGCCCGGTTCCATGAAAAATGTGCTGTTTTGGGAAGTTTTGCAGAATGCAAAATGCTTTTTTTTAAGAAAAAAAAAATTGCCGCTTCAAAACCTTGGTGTGTCTTATACTCCGGTGCATCTTATACTCTGAAAAATAGGGTATTTGCTTTAGAGAATCCCTCATACCTTTAAATCAGATTTTGAAATGATGGGAGGGCGCAGAAGCAGGGGAATATAATCTGGAGTGATGTCTGCACAATTATTTGGAGGAGACTATAAGGCCCAATCCAAAAAAAGTGAACAGAGATGCATTGATCTGGGGAATATTCTAAATAAAACCACCTCAGTTGGACAAAGATTCTACAAAATATTTCAGTGACAGAATATTTTTAAAAACAATGCTAAAATAAATCTGCAATTTGCATAAAGTTAAAGGATAAAAAAGTTAATATAATTATTAAAAAATGGTAAAGAAAGAAAAATTGTGAGGAGATTGATATGGTCAGAGAACTTGTCAAGGCTATAGGCTAAAAGAAAGAGTTTACACTGAACTCAGAAACATATTTGTATGTAGTGCAATTCAACTCACACAAAGACCTGGATGGCTTTGTTGTGGCATGAACTGTAATTGTTGAACTCTCTTTAAATGATATCTCACATAGAGAGCCAAATGTACAACCAGTGCAAAGGCAGGACTCTTCAGATCGGTTACAGCTAACATACCGGTTACGTATTAAACTGGTTGGTAAACTCCTGTACCCTGCATTTCCATTATGAAAACTCTGGAAGAACCCTCAAGTTGTACAATTCACTTATTTGCTATAAATCTTCATTTAAAAAGGCTATGTTCCTATCTTCAGCACTTACATTTTGTGGAGGAAGTTACAGATTGTTTGTCTCCTTCTATTTCCAAACATCAATATAAGAAACCAAAGAATCTATGATTCATCATATTCTAATGCACAGCGACACTGAAATGACTGCTTTCTAGCGAGTTGTAAAACAATTCTGCCAAAAATCATAAAGGATTTCCAAATTCAACATTATATACCAATGTCATACTTTATTCTTTCAAGTTTTTTGTAAATTATAAATAACTGAATTTTTGTGGGTCATTAACACTATTTGTTCTCCAATCCTTTCTTTCTCTAAGGAGTTTTGAACAGAATTTTAAACACATTTTCAGGTTATAATTTAACCTAAATATGCATATCTGACTTTGAGTATAATTTTGTAGTGGAAATAAACCTAATTCATCTTCACTACTCTCTTCAGGGAAAAAACAAACAGACGTGTATCCTACATAATGTAAGATAAGTTGACGGATAAAAATTACCAGAATGAATTAATATGATAGTGAGGGTATCCCATTTATCTCCATAATTCTCTTCTAAGCACTGAAGGGCATGAAGTGTTGATCCACCATTTCCTACAAAACATTTCAACACATATTTAAATTTAGGAATAACAAGATTTAATAGGGTTAGATTGCAATCAACTGATACATCTATTTTTTGAAAGTCATGCTACTTCAAATCACACAACATCACAAAATTTATTAAATAAACTTGGATCAGTCATCATCATTTTTACAGTGGTCATGGAAAAGATTGGAAACTTTCAGTTGTAATCTGTGTAACTCTAACATCAAACAGCCATGGAAATGTTACCTATTTGCCAAATCAGGCAAGCAAAATGAAAAAGTATTTTCTAAAGCATGAATATGTTTTACTTTCTTCTGTTTAGATCCTTCTGCAAAATTTTCAAAACATTTTAAAAATTTGGATTGAAAACGATAAAATGGAAATGTGTATGTATGTATGTATGTGTGTATGTGTGTGTGTATATATATATATATACTGGGATTCAAACCTGTGCTGTGTTGCATCTTAGGCAAACATCTTAGCCATTGAGCCACAGGTCTCCTCCTTATCAGTTGAAGTCAGGGAAGAAGGTATATATTCGAATCCCAGTAAGGGTATGGCTAGCTGATGAGAGCTAAATAGCTTGAAATAGATCTATACTAGTCTCCCTTTATTTATTTATCAGCACAAATATAAAAACACAAATATAACAAAGGCAACAGTAAAAATATTGGGTTTCTGTCATGATGGACTCTTGTGACGAGCTGATTGAGATGATGGAAGCAGTTAGCTTCCACCCATAATTGGGGCTTACCAGGGGTTATGACTCTAAATATATACCTTCTTCCCTGGCTTCAGCTGATAAGGAGGAGACCTGTGGCTCAATGGCTAAGATGTTTGCCTAAGATGCAACACAGCACAGGTTCGAATCCCAGTAAGGGTATGGCTAGCTGAGCTAAATAGCTTGAAATAGATCTATACTGGTCTCCCTTTATTTATTTATCAGCACAAATATAAAAACATATATTGAAATATATATATTTAAAATGCTGAGTAATATGCAACACAAATCATGAAGCTGATCTCAAATATATGTTTCATGTCCAGATCTCTATTTTTTTCCGTAGAATGCTTTTAAAGGAAAAAAGTTTTCATAAACTGAGACACTGTAAAATTTAATACAAATACTACCTAAACTAGAAAAATCTTTAAGAGTCTATTCAATTGACATGTTGCCCAAAAGAACATCCAGCTCATTAATGGCAATGGAATTTCACATTTGAATCAAAAGAAACATAATAATAGTATTTGAACATATTTTAGAAAGTTTAATTAATATAATTTGGCTTCTAATGACATTCTAGAAATCTTTCAGTAAAAGATACAGCTGTCATAATATGCACCAGAAGGAGAACCTTTTTATCTGTCTGAAAATTAATCAAATTGTACTGAACATTTAACCACAAACTGTCTCTGTTTCTGCTCACCAGATGATTGAAAAGTTAAACTTAACAAACTTGAAGCAGAAGTCAGCTAATGTATTTTTAAATTCCATGGATTTTAATTAAAGAAAACAGAAGTACTTAATTTAGTTTGAATGGTGACAGCCTTTCCAATCCTGTTTTCCATATGCAGAAGTTCAACACTGTCATGATGGTGAGAGAGCATCGTAAATGGATATCTAACTAAGATTACATTATGACCTCACAGTGCAAATTCTGCTCTTTCAGATTTCTATTCCAATTTCCTGCATAAGTTCGATCAATCATCCTTCAAACAAATGCTCCCGCCCCTTCTCTGGAAGGACTGTATTATGTTTTGAATGTATCTATGGGTATATATGTTTTATTTTGCTAATATTAACTTTCTCTAAATTGCAGAACCTACCAATTTTTGGTCCAGGAGGATCAGCAAAAACATGATAATCCACTCCCAGGGGCAATTCTTTTCTTTTCAGCTTTTCTGATAATTGTTTTTGATACGCTATTTCTTGCTTTTTATCAACTGCTGTTATTACAACAACATCCCAAAACTCTCCAGTCTGTACAGTTTTACCTGATTGGAAAAAGGAAATGTCATTACAAGGGATATAATTACCAAACTAATTTCAAATGTTCTTACCCCAAATAAGATACAAAATCCTTGAATTGGGATTTCTACTCCTTACTCCAATTAGCTTCAAGTGATATTCCTCCAAACACCACCATAAAATACCTGCAACTTACTTACACTACAGTTAGCTACTAAAATTCAACCATTTTCTTCTTCCTTGGGTTCAGGTTCACCTGATTGTAATGTATAGTTGTCCATTAAAGCTTTTCTTCTTGCTGACTAAAGTGCCAAAAGATGTGCATGTATTGAAAATGATTTGGAAAAGGTACTTTGGAATATGTGGGAACATGAATTCAGCACTTCTTTAATGATTAAATATTTAAAGTAGCTGTATCTTTTTGGTGGCTCTATTAAAAAGGTCTTCTGTTTGTATTTCTTTGGAAAGCATGCAGTATTAATCCCAACCTTATTTTTTTTTAATCAAACATTGTTTTCCAGATCACTGTTTGCAAAATTGCTTTCACAGGACATAAGAAAGCCCATGTTACATGAGCCCGCAAAAGTGCTTAGCCATTCAAAAAGAGGTGCTTTATTGCACTCCAACATATTGAAAAATGTTTCCTTTAAATGCTTTTCCAATGCTGTACAAAACTTATACTTGGGGAGCAAGGAAAGGGTATGACAATTTTCAGAATAAATGTGGTTGAAAGAAAAACAGTGTTTGGAACACAACAGAAATATCTGGAATATTCGGTTCCCAAATCTGTGAGTTTTGCGGTCCCCTACTTTGCACAGAACTAAAATGCTTTTATTGCATGTACACATTTTCCTGTCTATTGGTCAGATATGCTTCGCTTTATCAGGATAAGAACACCGCATTTTCTATAGTGAATGACAGCTGATGTGCTCATTCTTTTATAAAGACCCAATACAATTTATATGTGAACAGAACAATAAATTTTACATTAACTACTTTCCACGACATAAAGAACTCCGAATTCATTTATTACAAAGTCTCATCATAAAAAGGTGCAGGTTTATACTATCATACTAAATTGTAATAATTTGATTCGGACAAAACACGTTGAGCTAACCTAGCCAACATCACTTTATCCAAGCATGGCTCAGTAAAACTATGGTTTAGTTGACTGCAACTCCATTGTCTGCAAAACTCTATGATAGCAAAGGCCTTCTGACTACGCCCAAGATGCAGGCATTTTAAGCGCCCCCTGCATTTCTCACCCACTGAAATAATGGAGGGGGAAGGTGGAATCTGAACGCTGGTTTCTGCACCAGCAATTACACGGAAGTCCCTATTCCCACAGCCGCCCACCCGGCTAGCTAGTCAAAGAAGGTACTGCAGAGGCCCCAAACCTAAACAGCCCACGCTGCAGCCCCCAGGCAGCCACCTCTCAACCTGGCGAACTTCTCCAGCCTCTCTTGCGTCGCTCGGCGCCGCCGCGCCTCCGCCTCTCCCGCCAGCGGCATCCCGGGGCCGCCGCTTCGCCCCCTTGCGCTTCCGCCCTGAGGCCGGACGATGCCACCGCCTCTTCCTTAACCGGGGCCGGGCTTGGCCGAGTAGGCCTCGGAAGAAGCCGGTTGCTTAGCAACCGGCAGGCGTCTCTTGAATCTGGGATCCGCTTTCTGTCCTGGGAAAGGCGGGTTCCCGGGGCCGCTTGGGATGGAGAGGGAGTCGGTGAGTGAGGAGCAATTGGAAAAGCGCTGAAAGGAGGAAAGGGAGGAGAGATCCCGAGGTTGACGGTCCCAGCTGTTTTGTGTCCGGAGTTGCTCAGAGACCACATTTGCTTCTTCTGCAAAGCTTGGGAAGAACCAAGAGGGAGAAGAAAGCTTTTAACCCTGGAATCTGATACACTCTGCCTAAACCTAAATATCTTTTATTAAGAGAGTAGCTTCTAAAGGAAACGAGGGCGGCTTCTTTTTGAGGGTGATCACTCCCATTGAAGAATCTGGTTGTTAAGGAGCGATTCTCCAAGGCTCATTGTATCAGGCGAGCTACTTTGCCTTGAGAAAGTTGAGCAAAAATTACTCTTCAGAATGGTAACTGCCCTTTTCCCCAAAAACTCTTCTATACCATTCGTGGGGTGTGTATGTCTGTGTGTGTTATTGGGCATAATCTTGCTCATGTGAGCTCAGTTCAATTTTGAGGTATGCCCATTGTGTGATTCGTTGTCTGGTTTTGAAATAATTGCAAACCAAAATCTATAAAAGAAAACAATGGTAATTTTATTTATTGCTTTGCAAAGAGGGTGCATTATATACACACAGGTACAGTGGACACATCTTAAGCCATCAATATATTTTCTTTACATTCTCTATCCCAGGTTGCAGGTTTGCCTCCCATCTTTTCCTCATTGGCTGAGTATTAAAGCTGCCACAATCTATCAGAGGTGCCTACAACAAATGCATTTTCCCCTGCCCCTTATTTACAATTTATCTCTGATAACTATTAGTTTCTGGGGATTTCTCTAGTTGCCAACAAATTCTAGCTAAAAACAGTTCTGAACATACCAAGGGCCTCTCATCCCTCAGTCCTATGTGCAGTTTTAAATTCAAGCAACATTTATGAGATTAGATAATACACTCTATTATTTTCAAGGGTTATTATGTCCTGCTACAATTTCTTTAAAAAAATAAACTCCTTTCCCTTTCCCATACCACCACCTGAAAAAGGAAGATTTTTCTTTAAAAAGTGCAATCCTACTAGACCCTTCGGGGCTGCCCCCAAGGATTAGTGAAATCAAAATCCCTGTATTTGCCAGTTATGCTGAAATGTCATCAAATGATTTTGAGAAACTGGGCAGTGAATGTATCAATTTTAATTTCTAATATGGTAAATACTGATAGAACCATTAAAAACAAAAGTTGTTTGGAGGGCTGTGTATATTTTTTAAAAGTGGGAAGGGATTCTAAGAGGAAGAAAATTAAAGACTCCCTATCCCAAATCATGAACTAATTACACAGGCTGAATTAATTTAGTAAAAGTATAAATGTCTGAGAACTACTCCTAAAGAGGAGGATTTGTGTACAAGTAAAGATAGCAGAACTACGGCTTGTCCATTTGTTCTGCTGTCAGGATCTTATAGCCTTCTCCTACTATTCGCATGGATCAGAGTATAAATCCAGTTAATTTAACTGGTTTGTGTCTATGGAGAGCAATCATCCTGGTCATGGTTGTTCCAAAGTCCCCTCCCCCCCCCAAAAGGAAGCTGGGGTTTTTTTTCTTTGAAAACATTTTACTTCTCATCCAAGACATTTCTGAAGAGATCCAGAAATGTCTTGAATGTGAAACAAAATCAAAAGGAAAAAAAACCTTTGGGTTTACTATTGATAAAGCTACTGTATCTGACTAACCAAAACCCAGATGTCTGCTAGTGGAAAGCAAATACTGTATATATACAAGTTCTTTTTGCTGCTATCTAGCTGTTTATATGAAGTTCACAAGATAGAGTTGAAGCAAATTCCAAAGTTTGAGAAAAATGGAATATTGCTCATATTGAGCCGAGGTGGCGCAGTGGTTAGAGTGCAGCATTGCAGGCCACTTCAGCTGACTGCTAGTTCTGCAGCTTGGCGGTTCAAATCTCACCGGCTCAGGGTTGACTCAGCCTTCCATCCTTCCGAGGTGGGTAAAATGAGGACCCAGACTGGTGGGGGGCGATATGCTGACTCTGTAAACCACTTAGAGAGGGCTGAAAGCCCTATGAAGCGGTATATAAGTCGAGCTGCTATTGCTATTGCTATTGCTATATTGTACTGATGACACAGCTGCACAAAAGCATTAATATGTGGAAGTGTACCAGTTCCCTTAAAAGTTCACAGATTGTTGGTATATACACTAAAAAAAATCTAGTTTAATCCTAGGATTGTATAGGGAAATAAAATGCTTGCTGAATTCCAGAAAATTGAAAGGAGTGATTGTGTAAAGAAAAATTCTTTCTTGACAGATTTAAGATTTGAATAGCTTATTTTATTTTTATGTTTGATCATATAAATAGGTAATATAAAAATGTTTGGGGACAGTCCTGATAAAGCAAAACAAAATAGCTTCTTTTTCAGAAACTAACGCCTTTTTAGGAGAATGACCCAGATGGGCCTCAATTCCTACAATCATTGGGTTAAAAACAACCAAATATTATCTTGTCCTTCGGTTAGAAGTGATTACATTTTCTGAGCCTCCAGAAAAATAATACCAGTCTACAAATGTATTTTTTATTATTTATTTAAATTCACAAAACATAGTATTTGCTATGTTTGTGGCATCATTTGAAACCTCTTATTTAAGCCACTTACTAGTTTATCAGTTTTTTCACAGACATAATCTTTTTCCAGCAAAACAAGTTTTTTATGCTTTTCTCTGAAGAGGCAAAGAAAGATGACCAAGAAATAATTCTGTCTAGGCTTCTTGTTCTTCAAATTGGGTAATCTATTATATACTTAGATTAATTTTAATACTAGGATTGCAAAGAAAATGTATCAGTTAATTTCAGTTGAATGAACTGTACAGTTCTATTTGTCTCTAGTGCTGGATCTCAATTGTAATTTTGACTCGGTATGCAGTCTCAATAGCATTAAGGAAAAATTATGTAAGATTATTGATATGTGAAAATTTTATTTCCTTTGCCATGGCCCATTTTAAGATTCTTGACAGATATTTTTACTCTCTTTTTAATTTTAAAAGCTCATGCCTAGTCTCCCAGAGATTATAAGGGTGCAAAGTGCAAATGAAAGAAAATGAAGCAGTGGTGCCCTTTGATGTGGTTTTACCATGTACAAATCTTGCAATAAAAGAAGTCTTAAAAATAAGGCAAAATTATCTTTAAGGAATTGTCTGAAACTCATCTTGGTCATAATAAAATGACTGTTTTATGTGCCCCTTATTATAGTAATGTTGTATATGGGAAACTGTGAATGGCTTCCCTGCCTTTAAATATAGAAATATATTTTTGAATTGTTGTTAATTCTGTAAATATCAAATTGACATCTCTTTAAACCATGACTAAGCATATTGACATGAGGTGAATGCTTCCATAAAAATTAAAGTACAATCTCATTTAATTTTATGACTTACTCAGTTAAGACTATATAAATTACTTCTGTAGTGACCTAAGTGAGATTTTAATTTTGCAAAGTTAGAAAGTATTACATTTTAAAACATTCTTTAGCAATTGTGCAAGATTGATTGCTGCATTGAAACTACTGTATAGGACTAGAATACACTATAGGGCCAAAAGAGTACTCCATACAACTTTCATATGGTGTTTTTTCCCCCCAATAAATTTGTTCACTTACATAAATGCACTTTTTATAGAAAAGCTGCTTCCTCTGTTACTAGCTATTGAGAGAACAGAAATAAAGAGGAAAGGCCCTTAGATTTATTATGCATAATTTCATCCCTAATCTAAATCGGTTTAACTAGTCATCATTGTTTTGAGAAACTTCATTTAGAATCCTGTTACAGCTCTATTCACTATTCACTATAATCTCTCTGCATGAAACCAATAAATTTTACCTTGCACAAAATCCTCATTTGAAATCTGCTATAGGTGAGGAATTTAGGCATGTTCCTTGCCCAATTCACAATTGTTTCCATTCTTCCATCAGTTACCTAGAATTTATACAGTTGTGTTGAGCACAGGTGGCTAGATTCTGTGCGATAGCACTGGGGATTTGTTGGAAACACGTGTCTAATCCACCATAGTTATTTTATATAACAAATGTGGCAAACCCCTTGCACTGCTTATTCCTTTCCCATTTAGTATTAAACTGACAATGGGCCACACAGTTTATGGATTGTAATTTTAGTATAGTTAGACCATGTATAATAGACAGACTGGATTTTATTGTAGTTTTTAGTTGTTATTTATTATTCTAGAATTTTTAATTGTATATTTACTGAGTGTTTTTATTTGTTCTGGTCTATGGTCTATGACTGTAATAAACTGAATTGATTGAATTGATTGATGCAGGTCTTAAGCCAACCCTCAACTGATGCATGAAGGCTATTAATTTCAGATGGGTACATCAAGGCTAGATTAAGTTGTACTAATTTTACTTGTTACTTGATAATGTTGGTTCTGATTGTTACCTTGGCCAGCAGTTGGCTTATGACTTGGGTATCCTTCTGAAGTCTTAGTACCTGCTCAGGTACCAAGTAGATGGAAATCATAGGCAGATGGGATTTACCGAGCTTCTGCTTATGTCAGGTACATATGATTTACCACCTGACTTACCACCTGATTTACCACCTGATTTACCACCTGACTGGACAATTGCAGTGAGCTCTGTGTAGGGCTTTTGGAGACAACTCAAGCTACAGCGTACACAAAATATGGCAGCAAATATGGCAGCAAGACATATTTCTAAGCCCAGTTCAAAATGTTGGACATTACTTTTAAAGCCCTTTATAGTGTAGCATTAGAATATAACAGCAATATTTTGGCTGGATTGAATCCACCCATTTGATCCAGTCATCTGAGAATCTGTAGATAGTCCTTTCCAATTCATGAGATTTATGAAATGTGGATTACTGCAGTCCTTACATTTTAAATAGTCTGTAAACAAGCTAAGCCTTTATTTTTTCAGTGCTTCAGAGATCTTGTCAACACCAGTTGTGCTTTGACAGAATCAGAGACTATTGGTTTATAGAGAGAAATCAGGGCTTAGGAAGTTTTCTGGAACAGTGCTGAGCCGTGAGGCTCATGACTTCCAGTCTTAAAAACTGTAAAGACTTGTCCTTGGGATTTTACATGATTTGACTTTGGATTCTCTCTTTTTGTTGGTTGCTGCTACTCTAAACATTGTCTGCTTGGGAGTCTGCTTATGCATGTATGAAATTTAGATTGAATTGATGACTTCAAGTTACGTATGACAGATTTATTTACAACTTTAAGTATTGCTGTCCAGAAAGCTAGGACATCCTGAAAATCTCAAATTTTCAAAATTTAAATATATGACACTGCATGGTAATGTATTAATTAATTTATTAGATTTATATCCCATCTTCAATAGCTCAAAATAGTATGCATAGCACTCCCTCTTCTCTGTGTTAGGAATGGTTGACCAATTATTCAGTCAGCTTCTGTGGCTGATAGTGGACTAAAACTTATCAGTTGGTCTTCCTGGTGCCAGTTCAGTTTTTAGGTTAGGTTTTTAGGTTTATGTTTATTGGATTTATATGCCATCCTTTTCCCAAGGACTCAGGGTGACATACAACATAAAAGAAAACACATATTACAAAAATTAAAAGGGACATTAAATAAAGTATCCAAAAACCCCAATTGATATTTACAATAAAATTTTAAAAATTAAATTAAAACTAACAACCAAATTAATCCTATATTCTATTCAGGCCAGGCCGGCTTGCTGGAAAAGCCATTTTTTTTAGGGCGCATTCGAAGGACCGGAGGTCGGGGATTATGCAAAGCTCCGGGGGCAGCTCATTCCAGAGAGAAGGCGCTCCCACAGAGGAGGCTCTCCCCCTGGGGGTCACTAGCTGACCCTGTCTGGCCGATGGCACCCTGAAATGGCTAACTCTGTGGGATCGCACTGGACGGTGGGAGGCTAGTAGGTAGTCTCGCAGGTACCCTGGGCCTAAGCCATGGAGCGCTTTAAAGGTCATAATTAGTACCTTGAATCGCACCCGGAAGACAACTGACAACCAGTGCAGGCCGCCTAAAAGAGGTGTAACATGGGAGCACCTAGGTACCCCCATTATAGCCCATGCGGCCACATTCTGAATCAGCTGAAGCCGCCGGGTGCTCTTCAAGGGCAGCCCCATGTAGAGAGCATTGCAGTAGTCCAGGCGAGAAAGGACAAGGGCATGAGTTTTATGCTTGTAAACATTCCTACCTTAAATTTAGGAAATTCTGGAATAATAGAGACTGTAATTCAGCACTAACCCTTTGAGCATTTAAAACACCATTATATCTAACTACTTTGACAGTTCTTGGAGACTGATTTGAGAGTGGGAATCCCCTCTGCAGTAAGTGATAGTTTATCTCTCTTCGTCTCATCAGTATCTTATTCCTTGGCACAGTAAGATTTAAAATACATTATTGTCTGTCGCTATTGCCAAATCTGTTTACTGAATTGGAGTGTATACTATTTACAGCTGGTTGCGATTGAAGTGACATATAAACCTTAGTAATGAATGACTAAAAATAAACACAAAAATAAATAGAATGATTAAAAAGTATGATTCTTTAAGTAATCATTTTGAAGCCATGAACAGTTGACTCATCCTTTATAGATTATACATTGTCGGTCATTTCTCAGTAGAATCATTTCTCAGTGGAACCCTTGAAACCCTCTGCCATTTGATTTTATAAAACAATTTTATTTAAATTTTATATTGTTTTATAAATTTATAAATTTGTATTCAGGATTTAGAAAGCTTTACACTGAACTGTTTTTCGAATGGCTTTTAATTCATGTGTTTTATTGATCACATTTATTTATCATCCACAAATTATCTTAAAGGTCTGGCAATACAATTTATATTGGCTAAATTATATAATGTTTAAAGTATCATTATATTTTATTACTGTTTTTGTTTGTTATTTTGGTAGACTTGACCCAGGAATGAAATATGTCCTTTAACAAAACAAATAAATAATTTGCCATTGAGAATATTTCTATTGCCTATTTTGGGTGGTACAAGAATGAAATGTTTTGTTCATCTGATAAAATGTAAAATGGCATTTCTCCACTGATGCTTGCATGCTCTTAAAAGTTTTCTTAAATATGTTTTGTTCTTCCTAGCTTCTGTATAATGGCTTATCTTTTTATAAAATGGGAAATTGTGTCTAGCAGTTGGATATTTAGTTTATGTATTTGAAGTTTTTTAAAAAAAAGAAATGCTGAATAAAGGTAATTTATTGCTGTGTAATCCTTTCTCCCCTTTAGATCTCTCATGGATAAACCATAAAAGAGATAACTATGGAGGAGGAATTTTTAGAATACCTTGTCTGTGTTTCTGAAAAACTACTACTTGAATATGGCGAAACTGCTGATGAAAGAGATGAAAAGAAACTGAGAAATCTGGTTATGGTTAGACTGCATGCACACTACCTATATGATCTGCGAAGCATGCCATATTGTGTTTCACTCAAAATATGTGATTTGTCTTGTAATTTCCTTACAAATATTGATGCACTTGAATATTGCATTAATTTAATTAAATTGGATCTCCATAATAATCATGTGAGTAGTAATGGCTTTAAAAATGTAATTTTTGAAAAAATTAATCCATGCAATAGTGGCATCTGTAGTGTATGATGAGGGTGAAGGTTTGGTCTCCGAGCTTGTGGTTTGGTTTCTGAATGTTTCATTACCAGACTAGGTGACATCTTCAGCAATGTTCGGAAACCAACCCACAAGATCGGAGAATGAACCTTCAGCTTCAATGTAATCTAGACCAATAGAAGAGAGCTCCTAATGTTTGCATCAAACTAGGTGTCAGCGTTCCAAGTATCATGTAGAATTAAATCAGAGTTCAAGGCAAAACAATCCTTAAAGTTCCAGTTTAATAAAGCAGACATCTTAGCACATCTGTGTTAATCCCAATTCTGGAAATGACATCAGAATTCCACCCAGTTAAAAGTTGATGATCTTGTCCCCATACCCACAATCCATCACATGGTCCAATCTTCTTCTTCCACGCTGGCGTCTCCACCCAGCTGCTTCCGGTTAGGTGTAAAGTCGCGGAGACAAAAGATGACCTTGGCTTCTAGAAAAGAATGATAACAATACATTCCACAATCCTACTCCTGTCTATTCCCCCCTCCCATCAACTATACTAATGAAACAGCATAATGAAATAAGAGAAAGTGTGGCAGGCCAAAATTCTAAAAAGAATATAATTGCAGGCCTGACACTAGGTGTATCTTAGTATTATGGAGTTTTCCAATGAAATCACTTATGGATTCTTAAATCAGTTATTATTGTTTTGGTCAGTCCAACTCTTTATTAAATAACTATCCAAATGAACACCTCTGGAAATATATATATTTCTTGGATTAAAACTAAAAGATGTGTAATATCTCCTTTGAAATTTGATCTTTTTATGTGGTCGCCATGGATTACAGAGAACCAGGGTTTTATTTCACTGGCAATGCATTCAAAAATTGTGGCAATCAGTCACAGTTAAATTTTTGTTTCTAGACTTAATATTGGTAAAATTAACTGGCCAAAGCACTATAGATTGATATGGGGTTATTTTTAGGCTCAAAATGTTTGATGTTTAATATCCCTACTCTAAATGGAAGCCTGAAAAATAGGTGAAGATTCTTTTGTCTTGTTTCATGTCTTCTTGTACTTTTCCCTTATTTTTCTTGCAAATTTTTGTGAGGGAGGGAATTTTACTTCTTTTTTAAAAAAAAAAAACATTCAGTTTTAATGCTCAACTGACTTAAGATGATAATGTCATATTCTGACCTTCTCTTATATGAATAGAGAATCCTAATCATGCCTTTGAACACCAATGCAACTCTGGTCCAGGAGTTTGCCTTTAATACTTATTTTAGACAACGTAACATATATTTTAATCATCAATTTCTGTTGATATTTTACACTATGTCTATAAAGAAACAAATTCATAATCTAAAATTATTGTATAGACCATGTACAATTTATGTTATAACTTCTATAAAATTATTGGCATATTAAAAGTATTTTAGAAGTTTCTTTAGATAAAAATGCCTATAGGTAGACCTGGTTATACTATCCTGTTTCCCCCAAAATAAGATCTCCCCTTTTGAGTGCATATGCTAAAATAAGTTCTCCTCAAAAATATTGCAATGCAATAGCAGTCATGAAGTGACAACGCTCACCACCTCCTGCACCTCAAAAATAATAAGACCTCCCCAAAAATAAGGCCAAGTGCTCATTTTGGAGGTCAAAAGAAAATAAGACCCTGACTTATTTTTGGGGAAACATGGTAATTCATCCCCCTTATTATTAAATTTTCTAAATCAAGGGAGTTAATAATTTCTAATGATGAATCTTTTAATGTTTCTTTTAAAATCTACAGAAAATTTTTATAATTTTAGGAAAGTTTTTAGATTATTCAGGTGTACCTGAGAATTCATTGCCTCATTTCTGGAATTCTTTCATTCCCTTTAATTAATACATTAGTTACCTACCACACTGTCAATATTTTGGTGATTTCTCCTCTTCCTCTTTTCCTATTGACCAGTGTTTCTCAAACTTGGCAACTTTAAGTTGCATGAACTTCAACTCCCAGAATTCTCCAGCATCTAAACATTCTGAGTGTTTTCCATTATGTTATTTCGGTATTGGAAACTTTTATGGAATTACAAGTATATTGGTGGACAATGACTGGCCTTTTTTTCTTTCGTACTTCAAAAGGCAAGCTTTGGGAGTACTAAATTGTAATTATGGACCAGATTTGATGGTGATGCTTTTTGAAGAATTATATACTCTTCAAGTGAAGAAACATAATTATTAAATCTTTTTTCATTTTTCTCTCTTTTAAACTTGTTTTTCAATCCTATTTCAGCTAGAATTACTTCCTGGTCCAATGTTTTGGAGATATATGAAGAATTTACAATTATTATATCTACATGACAACGGAATTTCAACACTGGAAGATGTGCATTCATTATCTTTTTGCCCTGATCTTATCGCACTCACTTTATATAACACTCCACTGTGTTTGAAAATTGCCTATAGACACATTGTTGTTAACAGCATTTTTTCACTCAAGGCACTAGACTACTATGTCATTTCTGATGAAGAAATAACTGAAGGTTGGAGACTAACTGAAAAATTCAAACCATTTACGCTGGACTTTTTTGTTGACTATTACCCTCTTTCTGGAAAGGTAAACACAAAGTCATTTAACAGTATTAAAGTGTTATTATGTATACTTTCCTAGGAATACTAAGTTTTAAATATATTCTCAGTTGGAATGCATGCAAATGCAAGCAGATAAATAGATACCACTTTGGTGGGAAGGTAAACAACGTTCCATGAACTCTGGCATATAGGCAAGCCAGCCATATGGCCACAGAAAGGTCTTCGGATAATGCTCACTCACTCAGCTAGGAAATGTAGATGAACACCACCCCCCAGGGCCTGACACGACTGGGCAGGGGAAACTTTTATTTTTGCCTGTATATTCTAACAATCTGTGCCTTTATCTGTGCTCAAGCCAGAACATTTCTATTTAGACTTCAGTGTGGACAAAGATTCTGCCTCTCAAGAGACATCCTGCAAGTATGTTTGTGGAATATTTGCTCCTCTCAGGAAAAATAGTCAATATGAGTATTAATTGTGGAAAGTGGTTTTAATTCTCTGAGTTGCTTTTAGTATAGTCTCAATATCTATAACTTCAGAACTGCATTGTATTAAATTCATTGGGAACCATCTCTGGGAAGTATTACAGGATTTTATCAAAATAGATAGAGGAGGTACAGAGTGTGGATTTCCTGCCATTTCCAAAGTGTCTTCTATTTTAGCTTGCAGATCTCCAGGGCAGCTTGGCAGACTGAGCATGACTGTGCTTTTAATGGAGTCTACAAATTTGAGTGAAAATAGGAGGTGGTGAAGGGATTGGCTGCTTAGAAAACAGAGAGAAGATAAGACGCACCCATTTATGGCTTCATACAGATTCTCCCTGCGAAGAGATTGCAAAATGGCACTCTCCTGTGAGTTTGTGAGAGGGCCAGGTGACTATTCATTTTGCCTAAGTCACGCTCAGCACCCCTTAAAGCGACATTGTGTTTGCATACTTCCTCTCTTAATTACTTTAGGAAACAGCTTACTACTTCTTTTGAGTTAACAACCTTCCAAAACATAAGTTATACTGCACTGAGAGAGTTTCCTTTCATCCTGGATGAAAGAAGCTCTGAGTAAATTTAAGGATTAACAAGAGAAGCTTTGATTTTTTTTGGAGGGGGGCAGCAAAAGTGGGACTAGAATGTTGATTTTGTCAGCCTCTGTTTTGCTGCTTGCTTTCGGCTGCCATTGAAACGGGGAGGGGGGCATTGTATTTGGGTGGGGAAGTGTCAGTACAGGAGTGCCTGTGAAAAGGGAGTTGTTCTCACCATCTACTGCGCATGCCTGATGATGTTTTTTGAAGATGTCTCCCACATGGCACCTGTGGGGTGTACTGATTGGACTATGGGCTGGGATTACCAGGGGGAGGGAGTTGGGTCACATATTGATATCTATGATTATGCACGCTTTTGCCTCAGATCTTGCTTTGCCTAGCTACTATCTACTCATAACCAGTAAAAGTACTCTTAATTCTGCAAAATGGAGTTGAGTGGTTTCTTTCTTGGTTACTGAGGGAAGCAGCCCTGACATTTAATAGGCTAGATGGACCTGAGAACATTTCCTATGAGATGTTCAAAATTTTATAAAATCGTATATGAAGTTTTTAAAATTAATGTTAAGAAAGCCTCCTGTGGGAAACCTTTGCTGAAAGGAAAACAGATGGTAAGAGGGGACTTGAAGACTAGCTACAGAAAGAACAAAGAATTACTTTTAAAGAACAGACTATTAATACATTGAGGCTGTGCTATTAGATTTAAGAAGAAATTAAGGCTTTTTGTGACCAGTTTACTCAGAACTTACTTACAAAATTGTGTGCCACTATAGCAAAGGCTATAGAAAAACAACAGGTTTTATTGGATTAAACAGAGACTGATTTGAAGGTGAATTTGTAGTTTGAAAAATACTGGATTGTAAAAGAGAAAAAATGTAGGTCTGAAAATAAATTTTAAAATGCCATAATGGTTATATGGAAAATAATGTCAAAATGGATTTACAAATGAAAACAATTTTAATAATTAAAAGGGACATACACATAATAAATAAGAAGAGTGACTTGGAAAGCAATATACGGAAGGTGAGGTTCAAACAAACAAACAAATAATAAACCATGGAAATTCTTTCTGAGAAGATACAAAGAAAAACTGTTCAAGTTGTTCCAGGAAAGATACAAAGAGAAACTAAAGAAATCCACTTGTTGAATTAGGTTTGGTGAAAAGTAAATAGTGACAGCATAAGAAACCTATCCCATTACTGAAACCTGATGATGGCAATATCATGGTTTGGAGCTGCTTTGCCATTCTGGAGCAGAACGGTTTGCCGTGATTGATGGAACTGTGAATTTTGAATTGTATTAGCAAATTCTACAGGAAAATATCAGGGTATCTGTCAGTGACCTGATTTCAAGACAAAATTTATCATGCACGAAATCAATAGCCCAAACATATAGTTGCATGACTGAAGAATGATAAAAGCAGAAGGAAATGATTGAGTCAATATTTTGACCTGAATCCTAGAGAAATATTGTGAAAGGACCTGAAGCACACAGTTCATTCAATTAGCCCACCAAAATCCCTGAGTTGAAGCTGTTCTGTAAGGATGAATGAGGTCATAGTCCTCAAAGCTGATAAATAGGACTGATCAACAATTCATGTTCATGTTTATTTCCAGTGATTGCTGTACAAATGGGGTGAGGGGGGGGGCATACCAGTTATTGAAAAGCACACACACAAATATTTAGCTTTGGATCAATTTCCACAATGAATAAATAAACTAGTAAAATGTTTTGATACTCTTGTTCAATTGAGTTCTCTATTTAATTTTAAGATGTGTAGAGAACAAATCACTTTGAATGTTGAGTGGTGGTGGTTAAAGTTTCCCCCATACATGTGTGCTAGTCATTTCTGGCTCTAGGGAGCGGTGCTTATCTCCGTTTCAAAGCTGAAGAGCCAGCACTGTCGAAAGACATCTCTGTGATCATGTGGCCGGCATGACTAAATGCCAAAGGCGCACAGAGCACTTTTGCCTTCCCACCAAAGGTGGTTCCTACCTTTCTACTTGCATTTTTATATGCTTTCAAACTGCTAGGTTGGCTGAAGCTGGGACAAGTAATGGTAGCTCACTCCGTTACGCGGCACTAGGGATTTGAA